CCACATCACTTGTAAAAAGTATATAAATATAAATATAAATTACCTCGACAGCATTCTTTATGGTTTGAACAACATCCGGCACCATATCTTTCACCTCTTGAATAGTTTTACCTTGAAACAGTGCATAATTATAATCATTCCCGCCAATCTCGCCCACCAAGAACAAAGCACTCCGTAACTTCTCAATGCAATCTATAGCATATAAATACAAAAAAAAATCAATATGTATAATAACGAGAGGAAAAAAAACTGAAAATATTTACATATATAAAAATAGAAGGTTAGTAAACAATGACCTCTTTCATTTAGACAAATAGATTCAAAATGAGAGTGCATCCAAMCAAGCTGACGATCGAGAGAAGAATTGGTAACTGGAGAAAAGATTTTATTGCGGAAAAGAGTCTCGGAAGACAAAGCGGTAGAACCAGCCACTGCAAAATTCACTCCACGATTCTTCAAAGCATYTTTGTTAAGATAAGGATTCACCAACGGAAGTCCCGYATCCAAAGCTACAAAATCACCATTAACGGAAACCTTTATTAGAAAAATTGGAATAGAAAGTGAAATTAGAAAAATAACAAGAAGATAGAAGTAGAAATAAGTTACCGAAGTAATCGAGCATGAGYAAGCCGTTRGAGCAGCGGCCAGTGGCTCCATGGAAGAAGGTTTCACCATAGGGAAGGCGAGAGAAGGTAGTATTAGGATTTTCACGGATGAGATTTCCAGTGTCGGAGATTGAGTCCCCGAGTTGGTATATTGCATCGAACATACAAGTCCTCAGAAGATGGGCGGTGGAAGRAGGAGAGAGAAGAAGAAAAAGAAGAGGAAGAAGAAGAGACAAGGATGATGATGTAGTTGAAGTAGGCATTGTCGCAAAAGGGAGAGATTTTTGTGTTAAAAGGAATTCGTCGGGGGAATTGTGAGTGAAGAGTGGAATAATAGTGAAGCCTTATTTATAGGTTTTGATTTCTTCCCAATCCTTATGGGATAGTGGTTTGAATTTTGATTTTCAATTTCCTGTTCCTTCTAAGAATGGGAAATACGCCTTCTTATTATTTTTTAAAATTTTTTTATATCTATTATTTTTTAAAATTAAAAGTAAAATAAAGTTTAAAAAAATCATAATTATTATTTTAAAAATTGTTTTAAATATGTAGTTCGATGTGGCAGTTTAATGTATGTACGGGACATAATTTTTAGTTTTAATTATTGTTTTTATTGTTAACATGGAAAAATTTGACTAAAAATTAAAATATGCCCTTATAGCTCCCGTAGGCTCTTAAATTTATCACATATTTTATTTTATTTATTTCACTTTTTGAATTTTTTTTCGTTGATTTTGTGTCGCAATAAATTTGTTCAACGGGATAAAAACAAAAATATCAATAACCACTTTCCCTCTTTTTACGTTTTAAATATCAGTAAACAAAAGATACATTTTGAATAAATAAGATTCCTTTTTTCCAAATAAAAAATTAATTAAAAAGTAAAATTGTTTTATTTAGAAATTTTTTATTTATTTAGCCCGACTTAGAAAATATCGAACCGTTTAATTAATCAGGTAAAATTATTTTATGTTACTTCCTTTGAGCTCTGATTGATTAATTGGTCAAATAAAATCATTTTATTTTGTTTTCATTTAAAATTTGATTAATTAATTATATCAAATTATTTTCGATTTTGATTTTTTTTCTATTAAGTAAATTTGACTTTTGAATTTTTATAAATGGCAAACTTCACAATTTTTTTCGAAGTCTAAAGTAGTGGCAAAAGGGAATTCCCAATAGAGAAAGAAAAGAAAATTGAAATTAATTAAAATTAAAAATCAAAATTTAAACCCTTTAATCCCATAACGAATCGGAAGAAATAAAAAACTATCAATAATATTTTAGACTRATTTTAAGTATTATTAAATAAATTCCATGTTATAAAATTTCATAATGAATAATAATTATTATCTAAAACGGCTTTATTTTATTATGATATTTGAAGTTTCAAAATATATTTTTCTTGTAATTTAAAAAAATAACCATTATAATCTTTTTACTTTATACTTTATGAAATGACGAGAAGGAATTCCCAATCTTAAAAGGATAAGGAAATTCAAAATCAAATTCAAACCCCTTTTATCATCGAAGGAATTGGAAGAAATCAAAACTTATAAATAAGGCTTCACCATTATTCCACTCTTCACTCACAATTTCCCCTGCGAATTCACTTTACACCAAAATTCTCTTCCTTTTGCAGCAATGGCGATTTCCTTTACAACATCATCTTTCTCTCTTCTTCTTCCTCTTCTTTTTCTTCTTCTCTCTTCCGCTTCCACCGCACATCCACTAAGGGCTTGTATGTTCGACGCAATATACCAACTCGGCGACTCGATCTCCGACACCGGAAATCTGATCCGTGAAAATCCTAATACTACCTTCTCTCACCTTCCCTATGGTGAAACCTTCTTTCATGGTGCTACTGGYCGCTGCTCCAATGGCTTRCTCATGCTCGATTACTTCGGTAACTTATTTCTACTTCTATCTTCTCATTCTTTCTCTAATTTCACTTTCATTGCAATTTTTCTAATAAAGGCTTCTGTTAATGGTGATTTTGCAGCTTTAGATGCGGGACTTCCATTGGTGAATCCTTATCTAAATAGGGACGCTTTGACAAATCACGGAGTCAATTTTGCAGTGGCTGGTTCTACAGCTTTGTCTTTCGAGGCTCTTCTCCGCAATAAAATACTTTCTCCGGTTACCAATTCTTCTCTCGATCATCAGCTTGGTTGGATGCACTCTCATTTTGAATCTATTTGTCTAAATGAAAGAGGTAATTATTCACTGACCTTCTATTTTTATACATGGAAATACTTTCAGTTTCTTTTTCTCTTGTTATTATACATATTGATTTTTTTTTTCACATTTATATGCTATAGATTGCATTGAGAAGTTAAGGAGTGCTTTGTTCTTGGTGGGCGAGATTGGTGGGAATGATTATAATTATGCACTATTTCAAGGTAAAACTATTCAAGAGGTGAAAGATATGGTGCCAGATGTTGTTCAAACCATAAAGAATGCAGTTGAGGTAATTTATATTTATATTTATATACTTTTTACAAGTGATGTGGATCATTGAGGCTTTCCCGACTAATCTAATCCCCTCTTTTGGTTTATGTTGATGGTTTGCAGAAAGTGATAAGTTATGGTGCTACTCGAGTCATTGTTCCTGGAAACTTTCCAATTGGATGTTTACCCATCTATCTCACCGGATTNTTTTTTTTTGTATTTATATGCTATAGATTGCATCGAAAAGTTAAGGAGTGCTTTGTTCTTGGTGGGCGAGATTGGCGGGAATGATTATAATTATGCACTGTTCCAAGGTAAAACTATTCAAGAGGTGAAAGATATGGTACCGGATGTTGTTCAAACCATAAAGAATGCAGTTGAGGTAATTTATATTTATATATTTTTTAAAAGTGATGTGGATTATCGAGATTTTCCCTACTAATCTAATCTCCTCTTTTTGCTTATGATGATGTCTGCAGAAAGTGATAAGTTATGGTGCCTACTCGAGTCATCGTTCCTGAAAACTTTCCAATTGGATGTTTACCTATCTATCTTACTGGATTCCAAACCAATAATACAACCGCTTATGATGAACTTCATTGTTTGAAGGGTTTGAATAGTTTGGCGAGTTATCACAATGATCAAATCAAGCAAGCCATTGAAGTACTGAGAAGGGAGAATCCACATGCTGTTATTGTGTATGGCGATTACTATAATGCATTGCTTTGGATTATTCGCCATGCTTTTGTACTCGGTATGCTATTCTACATTTTACAAAATAAAATTTAGATCTTTGGTATTGTTCTATAAATTATTAATGTCATGTTTCCTATCCATATTTACAATATGAGCAGGATTTGATGAAGCTTCTTTGCAAAAATCATGTTGCGGGATTGGGGGCAACTACAACTTTGACCTCATGAAGATTTGCGGACTTCTGGGTGTACCAGTTTGTCCAAACCCTCATGAACATATAAGTTGGGATGGAATCCATTTGACGCAAAAAGCTTATAAATTCATGGCATATTGGCTCATCCACAACATCTTCCCAAAATTACACTGCATTGTTTAAATTTAGTTTGAGTGGTTATTTATTTATTTTTATGTTTATGATCTAGTTAGGGTTTTTCTTTTTAATACAACAATTAGGGACAGAGGATTTGAACTCATGACCTATTGGTCTCTTCTCTTGATTAGAAATAGATGCTAATTACGTTAAGCTCGATGATTTAATTAGATTCCTTATTGATTCATTAATGAAAAGTATTACATTTATTATATAATCCATGTTTACTTATTTTTTCCTCATGAACTGTGGCCTAAAAAAGCAAAGTTGGCAATGAATTAAAAATTATCAACTCGAGTAGAAATTTATGTTTTTTCGTATTATCTGTCAATGAAATCTCAAGTAAATTTCATAAAACTCTGCATGCATATTTTGTTTATTAGTAAAAATTTCATGTATTTTAATTGATATCAAATATAATCTAAAATACAATGAAATATGCATAATTTTGTTCCCTAATTATAATTTATCGCAATGTAATCAAAAATTTTAATTCAAGCCTCAATTTCAGACATTGATACCCACTTTCTTTACATGAACTTTGCCATTGGTTTAATAAACAATTCCATCCTTCTAAAACGTAACAGTTAATATGGAAGCTTATGTTTGAAAAAATAGAGAAAGTACGGAAAAAGCTATCGTTTTTAAGAAGGAATTAGGATAAAATTGAAAAAAAACGATATAAAAGCAAGCTCTCTTGACATTGAAGAAAGAATATTTTTAAGGTAAAATTAAAACATTAATTCGCATGTATATATTCAAAAGACTGTATTTTTAAAATGTTTATAAAAAATTAAGAGTAGTTTTGAAATTTCTTAAATAACATAATGGACCATTGGCAAAGTTAAGTATTTTTTTTAATATTTAAGCCAACAATATATTATGAGACGAGAAGTATTCTATTTTTTGTGAGATAAGTCTCCGATCAATTTATTATGAAAATGTTAACATTTTATATAAAATAAAATTTTTAAGTCATGTTTTTATTTTTTCAACCGTTCGTCGAGTGACAAGAAGTACCTTTTAAAACTTTAGAGATCAAATGTACACTCCAGGATTGACCGTGTATACATTTTGCTGTTTGTTTAATGATTAATGAGAAATTAAAGGTAAGGGCTGAAATAATGTTTTAAGTTGAAGTCCAAAAATTTGGGTATTAAAAACCAACACTTGGAAGTTGAATGATTTGAAAGTTTGGGTATTAAAATGATACTAATATCAACCTTTTAAGGATTAAGATAAGATTTAACCCTAAACATTATCTTTAGCGGTGTACAACAAAATTCAATGACCCAAATAAACCGATCAACCTAGTCATAAACTTGTTTGGATTGGATTGGGTTCAAATAAATGAAAATTCTATCAGTTGGATTGGTTCAAAGGTTCACCAAAAATACGTTTAGGTTGAACTGAACTAATCCGAATTTATTATTAATTCTAAAATTATTTTTTTAGGTACCATAAAAATTATATATAGTTTTATTTATTTTGATTTTATTTCATTCAATAGTTCTTTATGAATAAAAATCTACTTAGACAATATATAAATAAATGTTAAGAATGAAGATATTATCATTTACTTTTTTTTTTGTTATACAATACTTTGAATAAGTGACCCGAATAATCTAAACGAGCCAAAATCATATTTGCATTAGATTTTTTATCTAAAAAAACAAAACATTAAAAAGTGTGAACATTTCCATAATATAAATTGTTAGGAGACTTCTTGTCTCACAAAAAAAATGAAAACTTCTACCAATATATGAGCATGACTGAGCGGTAATTGACATATATTCCTTTTTTTCGAGGTCAGAGGTTCAATTGTTCGAGTATCAATATATGATATTTAGGGCAAGGCTAAATTATCAGAAATATCTCTAAATTTTATCATTTTTAAAAAATATTTCTATTATTTTAAAAGTTTCAATACTTGATCTTTCATAATTGTTTGAAAAAGAATTTGGATCAACAACATGACAATTAACGTGAAAGCTTGGATTGAGTCCCAAAAAAAAAAAGAGAAAATCTAAAAGAAATTATTGTTGATGCGTGGATTACGTTCTCCCGGTTCCTTCCGAGGTTCGCACCAAACTTGATTATCAGGGAATCGAAGACCTGCAAAACCGAACAAAGCTTAGACCGGTGTGAATCCAGTCACACGGGCTCCGATGTCTAAGTTAGCAAGGAGTGTAGATGAATAATGGAATTCTAAGTGTAGAATTTGGCTTACCTTAGGGTTACACTACATGGCCTATTTATAGTCGCTCGGAAGGTTCCAGACCCTTCTAAATGAGCCCTAGTTCGTCACTGCAAGGCCTAAGGTGCGTGGAGATCAGAAGAGGGCGATTACCGAGCTTGGCAATGTGCTGAGCCCTCGGATCAGGACCGAGCCGCGGTCCAGTTCTTCCGATGACTTCTTTGCTCCTCTCCTGTTCTGTCGGTCTGTTGCTTTGTCGTTTTTCCTTTGTATAACAACTATCATTTTTAAAAGAGGGATTAAGGCAATGCTTTTTAAAAAATTGGCAAAATGGGGACCTATATGTCACGTCAACTGTGAATTGCTTTTTATAGTTTTCCATGAGGAGTCAAGCTACCTATCTTCTCCTCCAATTGCACGATATCAATCTTGACTATTGTTTCATGAAATTATATGCTAACTTCAACCTTGGATTATCCTTAGCTAAAGAAAAGAAAGATAATTGGAGACTAAAGATCATAGTCTAATTTTCACAACATATGAAAAAGAGAGTCTTTGTCCTGCTATTCCCGGCAATCGCTCTTTTAAGGGTTAAAAGAGAGGATCAATATTTTATATTCTACCATGTCAATTTTTTTGTTTAAAATGTTAGCGAATGTTTACTGTATTATTGAAACGCACCGGAAAGGTGAATGATAGTAATTATATTGAAACTAAAAAAAAAAAACTATTTTTTAAACAAAAAGCAAATTTAGGGATATATTTTTTGTATTTAGGAATTGAAAATTTTAAGGAGAACAAATTATGCATATTAAATTATATTTTATATTAACTAAAGTACATAAAATTTTTACAATTAATAAATAATATATATCAATAAACAATGTGGAGTTTTCTGAAATTTTCTTAGATTTCACAGAGAAATCTAAAAAATCATGTCTACTCGAGTCCATAATTTTTAATTAATTGCCAACTCTGTTTTTTAGACCACAGTGTGCAATTGATTTTCACATTTCTTTTAGGTTGAAAAAGGAAAAAGAAAAAAACTAAACACCGGATTATATATGAAATGTAATCTTTGAATTTTATTAATAAATCAATAAGGACCTAACTAAATCATAAACATTAAGAAAGAGTAAAAAAGAAAAAAGAAAAAAAAACTAAATTTAAAAAATGCAGTGCAATTTTGGGAAGATGTCATGGATGAGCCAATATGCCATGAATTTGTAAGTTTTTTGCGTCAAATGGATTCCATCCCAACTTATATGTTCATGAGGGTTTGGGCAAACTGGTACACCAGGAAGTCCGCAAATCTTCATGAGTTCAAAGTTGTAGTTGCCCCCAATCCCACAACATGATTTTTGCAAAGAAGCTTCATCAAATCCTGCTCATGTAAATATGGATAGGAAACACAACATTAATAATTTATAGAACAATACCAAAGATCTAAATTTTATTTTGTAAAATGTAGAATAGTATACCGAGTACAAAAGCATGGCGAATAATCCAAAGCAATGCATTATAGTAATCGCCATACACAATAACAGTATGTGGATTCTCCCTTCTCAGCACT